AAAAACCTTGATCAAAATCATTTATTTTATAAACCATATTTGATGACTCTCAAATTTTCTCCTTCCTCATATGCCACAAATAGAAAATCAGTCTATCTAGAGATGGATATGCTCATGCAATGAGTCAGCATGCTCTCAGATTTTGATAGGGGGATGCTTTTCTTCCACTGATAATGGTCACCAACGCATGGGGTGCGGTGCTCGCAAGCTTATGAAGGGCTAATGCAATTTTGACAAGCCCTTTAGTTGGTTTTTTTTTCTTTTTTTTAATGTGGGAGACAAGGTTGATGTCTGCAATAATTACTCATTGTAAAAAGCCAAATCATCATATTCCTAGACCATTACAGTAGCCTATCGAGTCACCAATATTGATAGTCAATATAACAAAAAATACATGTTAGATCCTAAATTTAAGGGGCCTTACTACAAAGATGCTCATGACACTTTACCTAGAAATATATGCTCGTGATGTGATGATGTGAATGGGCTATCTCAACTAGTATGATTTGCATATAATGGAGAAGATGAAACCTCCACTTGTCTCAACAATTCAATGACTGGGATCAAAGGAAGAGCTAACTCATAAGTTGTAATCGAAGTCCATTTTTTTGTTGTCATGGCATTATTGTTTTGTTAAAACAAAATATTTAGTTTTGTATATAATGAAAATTTGTGATATTTAAATGAAAGAAAATAGAAAATAAAAAAATGAAATAAAATTATTTTTATTTTGAAGGTGTAGATTTATTTAATAACTTTTTGTATGTTTGTGTGTATGTGTGTCTATACGTACATATATATACATATAAATCCGCCCCTGGTTGCAGCTTAAAGCCTTTTGCCAGGGCCAATTCTGTTGTTTCTCATAATCTCTACCATGACATTCATACTCCACTATTCGTACTTGACCACACGTACTCGGTTGCTTGTACTCGATTGGCATGTTTGAGTTAGACAGTGAGCTGGACTGAGCCTACACACTCAATTAGATCAAATCCTTTAATAAGCCTAGATCACAAAGGGCACCCATTTAGATCGATTAGGGTCTCTGTAGGTTCACGTTTACATCTTTTGATTGTACATATTTAATTTGTTCATTCTCTTATCCTTCAAAAAGTAGTGTTATGATAACAATATGAGAATTAATACATTGAATTATTTAAAATTTGAAGGTTAGTGTCTCTCCCTTAGAATATGGACTCTAGTTCATATAAATATGGTGATGAGATGTTTGTTAAGTTCATTTTTCATTTTATTTCCTCCACTTTGATCATGGATTCGACTATTTAATTCTCTTAAAGTGTCATTGCAAATCTCAACAAATCAAAGTCTAATATTCTAGAAAAGATGCTGTTAATTACTGTTAACAGGTTTTTTAACAAGCAAAAGTTGGTGAGAGGCTGAAATGGCATAGACAAGTATTGCAGTAGAGGAAAAGGATTTTGGCCTTTGCATAGAGAGAGACATCTTGGATGAATCCCTTGAATGCGACTATTAAAGGTTGGACTCATCAGTGAAAGATCCGACCAAGGTCCTACTTCCGTGGGTGAATGATATCATGCGCCTAAGCTGTGTTAACTTCTTGGAAATTAGGGGAGTCTGATAATCTACTTATAGTTTTAGATCTCTAGCATTAGTGCGGATCACGTGGTACGTAAAAAACCTCATTGTTTTATGAAAATTTGGAGAAATATCTATTTTTTTTAAAATTCCCTTTTCTATTTATAGTATATTTTAATTATAGAAAAAAATGTGACACATGACTTTCACACGATGAATGTTGTGATTTGAATCAAAACATAGAACACTATAGATTCAGAGAAGGAAGATCAATGATATTGTATTGTAGTAGTACTTCTCCTTTTCAAGAGGTAGAAACCTGCCATTGTAAACTCTTGAAGTTGCCTCTATTGTGAATGAAGTTTAGCAGGTAGAGTAGTTTGATGATTAGAGGGGAGAGATCACTGAATTGAAGAGGTTTGTTGAGAGACTTGAGAGATAAATATATGGTGCTTCAATGTCAGGTTTATTCTAACTGTCTGAATCATGTTTATTAGGCTAAGTTGGAACCTCCTACCCTTTATTTGTAGAGCTCACTATAGTTTAAGGTTTGGGGCACTGGTATTGGCTTTCTTATAAAACAAATCCTCTTTTAAGCTTTTTGTTGGCTTTGTTTCGTCGAATGTATGTGTTAACTCCTTAAAAATTATACAACAAAAACCAAAATTTTAATTTAAATTCTTAAAATGTAAAGCCAAAATAAAAGAAAGATATGAATAACACTAGGCCTTTTAGTATATTGGGCTCCATATTGTTTATCCTTTGGCTTTATAAAAAAAACTATTCCAAGTTTGAGTCATTGCTCTTACAAACCCCAATTAGTAATCTTGAAATCCATAGTTATAATCCGTAGAAATGTCAACCATTGCTTTATTCAATAGATTTATTATAAAATGCTTTTTCTTATGATATAGTTAATTAGGCATATCAAACCCAATAACTAAAATAAACTTTATTATTTTAGGATAAGGGAAAGACTTCTAATCCATAACCCCACGGAGCAATGAAACAATCACTTCACAATTAGATCTACCGTATGGTAGTATTTCTATATATCAAGGTGATATACTATTTCCTGATGTAGTATTCAATCTCAAGTGAAAATTATTAAAACGTTTATGAATGCCTCCCCCCACCCCCCTAACATCAGACATAAAATACTACCATGAGTTCCTTTTAATTTTTTGGACACTACATATTATTTGACGACTTCTCTAATCTTAGTATCCAATTCGAGACATCTTTAATATGAAAAAATTTGTAAGTATCTTTCTCCCTCCTATGCTCTTAAGTGAACATTTTGCTTTAAGCAACACCCATTAATTGGGCTACTAAATTTGCAGAATGAGTCATTCCATATGGCATTATAGTTCTCACAATGTTATGTACCACCCTAATCTGACTAGAACTCTATCTAACTATCACATCCCAATCTTTGGGATTCGTAACTTCCCAATACTTTCATATGATATGCAAATAGAAGAATGTTGGAAGAGAAAATAATATTAAAACATGCAAAATCTTACCTCTTATTTAAGATCATTCTTATGACTCTAGTTGTTAATTAATTCCTTAAAATATTTTACTGTAATACCATTGAAGTAGTTATCACAACTCGACCCGATGTAACCTGCATATCAAGACACGTCACCTTATGTTGATACAATGATGATTAAATACTTACTCAAGATTTATTTGAAATAGATTTAACTAATTTATTTTTTTCAACTTATATCAACACAAAACCAATAGTATTATCTAAAATATCACAAGCCATAAGCTCAAAATTTATTCAAATTATATAATTATGCAACAAAAAGAATTATATATAACAATTATAATCTAATCTTCCTCTCTCTCTCTCTCTTTCTTCTCTCTCTCTCTCTCTCTCTCTATATATATATATATATATATCATGATTATAAAAAATTGATCAAAAATAATAACATCAAGCTTAGACTCTTAAATCCCATTCTTTTCTCCATTTTGTCTTAAATATAGGATTTTGTAAATTGTAAATCCAGTTTGAAAGACATACTTATAGGATTTCGAGAAGCTGGAGTGTGTGAAAGCGGGTTGGAGCGGAGGGTAGAAAGACCAGCTAGTTTTCTTAAAGGTTATTTGGTACGATACTTTCAGCATAATTAAAGTTGGATTTATCTTTAAACTTAATTAAACATCATAAATAAATTAGATAAATTTATCGTCCAATTAAATTTAATTTTTTTTCTCATTCCGCTTATTAAATCCGAATCTATTAAATTCACTTGTTAGTTGGATTTAAAGAAAAAAAAAAAGTTATAGATTTATGCCAAATAATTCAAATAGATTTAACTAGATTTAAGTTTAATCCAACCAAACATTATTTCAAATTTAATAATATTTAAATTTAATGAATCCGAATTTAACGATTTTTGGGTTATGGAATGAGCAGAAAGATAGGAGTTTCGAAGTCCTTGAATGCTACGATCCAGTGGTTACTTTCCTAACTAGCTCCTCCAATTGTGATTGTACTCGGCAGAGTAAATACTAATTAATTAGGCGGTATTCGATAACACACTCTTAATAGGATTTAACCATTCATTTCACCTAAATCTAATAAAACAAAAAAAAAAAATGAAATAAAATCTAACACTGTTGAAGTAAAATCTCTCTTGTTTCGTCTGTTTCTTCCAGTTCCATTCCATCTCTTCTGCGTCGTAAATCTAGATTTATCAAATTATACATAGATTTACGTCGTAGTTTCTCGCCTGCTCCATCTCCGTCGTGAACTGATCGAATTTGATAAATCCTATTAATGTAAATCTTTGCTGCGGCCATACAATGTCTGAAGAAATCTTATGTACATATTACTTAATTTTCTCTATCTATATGTTAACATATACACTTCAAATTCTACAAACATGACATGCCATGTTTCGCCAATATTTTTTTTGAAGCTACTACATGGGAAAAATTAGTTGGGATATTTTAATCTAATTTTCATATATTTGATTAATTTTAAATTTTTATAAAAAAAATTAATTAATACATAATCATCAAATTTAATAAATTGAGGAACCAATAAGATAAATTATTAAACTAAAATTCATATTCTATTAATGCAATTTTTTCTATGAAATTGTATTAGTAATTTGTGCCACGTCTAAAAAAATTTCTTGATTTCACATATTAATAATAAAACGCATGACATAATTAATCTTGACAAAAAATAAAAATGCTGGGAAAAATACGGACACTCTCCGAACCGACTTCCCTAGGTATCTCAGTTCCGGCGACGCTTGAAGCTCCGAATCGGGGGTCGATGTTGACAATGGAGCGGCTCTTTGTTGAAATCTTCGATAGGAAGAGGCGGATCGAGCGCCAGATTCATGAGCAGTACGAATCATATGGTGAATCTCTTGCCTGCAACGTAATTGCCGACGGCGGGGGACCGGCCCCCCCCGCCATGGCTGTTGGAGCTGGCTCCAGCCACCGAAATTTGTGTTAATCCTCTAGGTACTTCTTCATTTCTCGTACTCTCTGCCGGAATTTTTAAAGATTTTAGGGTTTGATGGCACCGGATTGGTATTTATGAGTTATATGGAGATTTAAGTTGAATGGTTTTTTTATTTTTTTTAATTAAAGAGCACTGGAAGTACTCATTAAAATCCGAATGTATTTCATGAAAAGCATTTGAATTGATTTTCACATTATTTATATGTGTGCGATTTACGTACTAGGAGAATCATTTTTCTTGTGAGGAAGTTTAAAACCATCATTTAGAGAACACTCTATAATATATGGAGCGTTATTTTATGAATTGCACACCCAAGCTTTTTCTTAGCATGAATAAACTTACATAAATATTTCAAACTATCATGAATATTATCAATAAGAAGTGATTGCTTTCGCATAGAAACTTCATTATTCTACAAAAGCAAAAGAAAGCTTTCTTACTGCAATTTTAAGTAAATTTGAAGCTTGAGAATCATATAAGGACCATCACAACAAAAGGTGGATACGTCATAATTTTGAAGTAAAATAGCCACAACACAGGACTAAAGCTACCGATTTTCTTGAAGTTTGTGATCCTTTGGAACTCTAAAAATCTCTTATCAAAATCAAGATTCCTGTTAATGACTGACTTTAGGATGGGTTGTAAAGATCTAATAAAAGAAGTGTAAGCCACAACTGCTGACAGATTTTTGGTTTTACTTTGGTCGATTTCTTTTGGCTTCCAACTTTGTTGTCATGTATGGATTTAACACTCTATTATTGGTTAGTTCTTGTTAATCCAGATTGCTATGTTGTTGTTAATTGATTATTGACAGAATTATGCTGATATGAATTTGGTGTAGAGCTTATTTTTGCACAGACAAAATTAATTTGGGATTATATTATACCCTTCTGATTGCTGATATGAATTTGGTGTAAAGATTATTTTTCACGTACAAAATTAATTTGGGATGCTGTTATACCCTTTTGATTTATGGTTATTCTGTTTTTCCAGAATGTAGACATCCTTCATCTTCGCTTTGGAATAAAAAGAGAAAATCTTGCAGTGCTACTCGGGAGTTCATACAGGGAATTTTGCCCCGAGTATGTTCTTAATTTGTTTTCTACATATATTTGCAACTTTACAATTTCTAATAATTCTTCTCATTTATTTAACGTGAAAGGTATCTAGAATGGTTTCTTTGGCATTTTTAATCATTGATTACATTAGCAGGATGACTGATTCATTTGTTGTTTCTCCTATTGTATGATTAGTGGTAGTTAATTTAGTTGTCTTTATAACCGTTATTTATTTTTGGTTAATTTCAGGTTCAGCTCTCATGTATAATTGAGCAGTTGGTATTCCCATCTTTTCTATTTGTTTCTAATCTTGTTTCCAATCTTTGAGGCTTTGTCAGAAAACATTTAATATTTGTGATATGAACCTATTTATTAAGGGCCTATTGAGGAAACTTTGTTAACTTCTGAAGATGTGAAGACAAGCATCATACCTATCACTGAAATGAATAAAAAAAATTATTCATTAGTAAGTCAATTAATTTTTATTTTTAAATAGTTAGACCTTTGTTCTTATCATCAATCACTTGATTTGGAAGTCTTGGTTAAAAATAGACTATCATTTGTTATGCATATGATGAGTGGGTCAACAAAAGCTAAGATTGTGTTGAACTTTTGATGCCTTGACTGTTGAGAAGTAAAATTTCTTTGTAAATGAAGAATTTGTGTGGTAAAAAATAATGGAGAGTGGGAAAGGGAAATGTATGGGTGCCTTAATGTAACGTAGACAAGGTTAAGGAGAGAGAAAGAAGCCTAATAACTAGGAGCAAGAGGAGGCAATTAAGCTTATAGATGATGCCAAGGAAAATCAATTTTTTTTTCATCTTCAAAGATTTCTAATTACTACCCTGGACGAACTATTAATTTAAAGAAATAGTAGGAGTATTAGAAAGAAAGAGAGTGTAGACTTCTCTTGTATTAGTTGAAATCGTGCTCTACCTACAAAGGATTGATGAGAAAGATGGAAGAAATAAAGATATCCTAGCAAGAAATGAAATCTAAATAATACAACCTATTTTTGATATAAAAATAATAAATATAATAGATTTTATTTCTATAGTTTAACTAAAATTGTGTTCCAAATAAGCCACGTATCATAAAATACCAAGCTGCAAGGTGGCAATGGGAAAAGAACGGCTGGAAATGCCATACAGGGACGCTCGTCTGCTTTTCTAGCTCAACCCAGCAAGCATTTCATCTAGGGCCATTATAGGAGTGGCCATCGAAGGTCTGCTTGCCATCCAACACACATGCTGGCAACAATCCCTTGTTTGAGGCCACCATATATGTTGTAGATGTTAAAAATCCTCACTTTTTCTTTTTTTAATAGGGTAGAGAACATAGATTTCAGCACTCTCCCTCAAATTTGGTTGTAAAGATCACACAAGCTAAGTTTGTTAATTATTTTTTCAAATATGAATCTCATCAATTCTTTGGTGAAATATGCCAGCAATTTGTTGAGGGGAGGAAATATATAAAAACACGGATTGCCTATTTGCGTTTTCCCTTTAACACAGTCATTCTACCTCCACATAATTGGTTTGATCTGATGGACAAAGTTGGGTGCGATACTCATAGCTGCCTTATATATTGTCATAGGAGCTTGATAGTTATTAGAGCTTCAAGTAGTTTCAACCAGATTAGTTAACTAATCTCGCTAGCCAAGGATCTAACGTCAGCTTCAGGATTACCCACCACATCATTTTTGTTTTTTTACTTCTCATGCTTGGATATTACCTTACACATAAGTGCATTACCTTGATGTATAACTTATATTAACTATCAAACTTACCCAGTTATCATCTATATAGGTTTCTTTAATTTTAAATTATCTTTTTCTGAACTTTTTTAAAGAATAACCCTATTTTAGGGTTCCCTTTTAGGTACATCATTCATATGTTCTTTGTAAGGTGCATGCATGAGTTGACATACTTTGCTAATAATGAGTTCAGAAAAAGTTTGGGTTATTATCTAGCAGTTGACTTATCATCATCATGACATTGATATAAATTGGACTAAATTCAACACATAAGTTTGGGTTATTCCAACATAATAATCACTAGAGTTGGGAATTGATTTTTTTAGTTCTTATTGAGGTTCATCTTGTCAGAGCTTTTGCCTCTCCGTTCATCGGCAAATAATGCACATAATCATTTGCCAACTTATAACACTTGACTCGGAGTTTTAAAAATTTTCTCTTATTTTAGCATCCTTATTGTAAATTTTTAAAAATATTTAGCATTGCTTTGCACCTTTTATCAATCAACATATATGAATATATGCCAAAAGAAAAGCATGGTATATAAAACTTGACATCTGGTACTTGATACACATCATATTTTATTAAACAATTTTATGATTTTAGATAAACATAAATATCTTGAAATTGTTTTAACAGGTGATCATAGAAAATGCAATAACTTTATTGGTAAAATTTGGTGTCAATAACATGCTCAATATGAAGAAAGTCTACTTACGTGCATATGACAGTTCAATTTGAGGGCAAAAATTCACAAACATTAGGCTCCCTATATTAGAGGTTGAACATACTACAATTAAATGATCCTTCCAAAGTTTAAAATTGCGCAATTGGTAACCAAGGCTTTTTTCTTTTGAAGCGAGGCGTAAGTCTGAAGGTGTTTTAAGGTTTAAGCTTTAAATTTAAAAAAATTATGTAAATTAATAAAAATTTATTAATTATAAAGTGTGAAGTAAAAAGTATCATTTTATATTTATTTTGAACATGTTAAAAAGTAATTTAACAATATTCTAATTAAGTAAAAAATAATAAAATTTTTAAAAAATAGAAGTAAGATTTTAATATGCTAACATCAAATTATGAAATAAGATGAGTTTTACAAAGATTAAATTATCAAAATAAATTAATAAATTAAAATAAAATATTAAAATGTGATAATCAAAATAAATTCAACATAAAATTTTCTCACACTCATACACTTCCCCACTTAAACAAAAATTTAACAAGTCATCAACATTTAAAATTATAAATTTAAAAGTTATTATTACTCATCCCCTAATTAATATTCATTAGAATCATCAGCATAAAGAGTTATTTATCTTGCATCTTATCTTTAGTTCTATTTTTATTTCTATCTATATTCTCTCATTATCTTTTTTTCTAGTTATTCTTATTTTCTTAAATATTAGTCATAAATAAGAATATTAATTATAATAATAAATTTTTTTGATAATTAAAACTTTAGTTTCATAAATTTTTTTGGATATCTTTTATTTATATTTTTTTATTATTTAGTTTATGAAGTGTGAGGGTTAATTGGTAATGTTATTGATATTGCTTATAATTTTGTTAAAAAAATTGCAGACAACCTTTAAATTTAAGGTATTTTTTGAGCTATGGAGCGCCTCAGCCCCGTTGAGGCATATGCAAACGATCCACTTTCTGTATGAGCTCCGTGACGACTTATATAACAGTGTAAGCGTGTTGTCATGGAATGAAATGTGCATACTTGTTTGGGCGATCCACTATCACCAACATCGCCGTAAATACCACAGATCATGACAACCCTCTATAAAATTCATTTTCACCTCCTCCCAAACCTTCTCAGGTTAGGCTAGGGGTTGCAGTAACCCTTCTGGTGCCATGGTCAATAATTGTTCGTTGGCACGCATCACATCTCACGAACATGTCCTATACATCTCTGTACATCTCCGCCCAATATAGCTCGGTTGATAGTCAATTATATGTTTTTTGTACCCCTTAGTGTCCCCTTAATGCATTGCCATGAAACTCCTACAACAGTTTGAGGATGTACTTGGATGCTTTAAGTTACACAAATTGTTCCTGGTAGATTAGTTGTTGACCCCTCAATGCATATTTTGGATGATTGTTCGGATCCTGTAACAACTTTGCTCTGAGCTTCCTTAGCCCTTCATTCTGCTCCCCCTCCTGCTTCAGGGCTTCCTAATTTAGGACCGGGGGTACTTATAATGCTCTCAGCTGCACTTCCTTGGTTGTGCATTTTTGGCTTTATTCTCCAATCTTGGGCTGTATTGGATCTCAAACTCATATCCAAGTAATTTGGATAACCACCTCTGATGCTTCTTAGTCGCCATCCTTTGCTCCAATAAATACTTCAAGCTCCTCTGATCCATCTTGACTTTAATGTGTCGCCCCAATAGCTAGGGGCATGATGTCTGAATGGTCAAGACAAGAGCCATCAATTCTTGCTCATACGGGAACTTGAGCCTCACCCTAGCCATGAGCACCTTGTTAAAATAGTCAATAGGCCGCTGGTCCTGCATGAGTACTGCTCCAATCCATACCTTGATGCAACTGTCTTTACCAAAAATTGTTTACTGAAGTATGAAAGTGCTAATATCTGAACATTAGTCACGACTCTTTTCAGTTGTTTGACGGCCTGTGTTGCTCCTTACCCCCTCTTGAAATTATCTTTCTTCAGTTGCTCCATCAGTGACCATGCTATCATGTCATACTCTCTCATGAATTTTTGGTAGTATTCGGTGAGGCCTAAGAACCCTCCTAACTCCTTCAAGCTCATCAACAACGACCAATTCAACATAGCCTTGAACTTGTGTTGATTTGTTGCTACCTTTGCTTTGGTCACCTCATGCTCTTGGCACTCCAGCGGTGACTGTTTAAAGGAATATTTTTTATCGTTGACGTACAACTAGTGCTCTCTCAATGTCTCTAATACAGTCCTCAAGTTTCCCATATGCTCTGCTTCTGTTTGAATGTAGAGTAGAATGTCATCAAAAATTACTAGAACAAACTTCTTGAGGTAAGGTTGAAAAATCCCGTTGATGAGAGACTAAAATGTGGCTAAAGTTTTGGTAAGGCAAAATAACATTACCAAAAACTCGTAATGTCCTTCACGAGTTTTGAATGCTATCTCGTGCACATCCATTGGATTCATCATGATCTAATTGTATTCCGACTTCAGATCGATCTCGAGAAGATAACTGCTCTATAAAGTTCATCTAGCAGCTCATCAATCACCGGGATAAGAAACTGTTCAATACAGTTTCCATGTTTAAAGCCCTTAGCCACATAAAATCTTCAACTACCATCTTTTTTCTTCACAAATAGGACTGAACTAGAAAAAAATGGCTCACACCGAGTCTGATAATCTTTGCTTCGAGCATCTCTCAATCAACTTTTCTATCTCATCATTCTCAATATGATGATACTTGTATGGCTTGACACTGATAAGAGGAACTCCTTTCAATGTAATGGTATGCTCGTGTTCCCTCGGTGGCGGCAATCCACTAGGCTGTTGAAAGAGGTCGGAAAAATGTTGTAGAAGTTGTTGAATGCACTCAGGGAACTCTACTGACTTAGGCTCCCGGATCACTCCGTACTCGACAACACCACCAAATAGCCCAAACCCACTGCTCGTTTGTCTTGACCACGGTTCTAAGTCAGATCATTGTTTTGAATTGTCTAGCATCTTCTCTTAGCAGCACATTCTTCGCTTCCAGCCTAATCTCCCAATCCATCTTCGACTCCCCATTCGTCCATAGCTACTTTATCCCCAAAATCACATTAGTGCTTCACAAGTTCAAGGGAAGAAAGTCCCTCACCACATGTAGGCCATATAGTGTAAATACTAATCCCTTGCAAATTCATCGGCTTTTTCCACCTTTCATATATCCCCATATTGACCCTAAAGTTTCTCGTATCTACTAACTTCAACTCCAGCTAGTCCACGAACCGATTTGAGATGAAATTGTTAGTGGCTCCAATATCCACAAACACTACTACCGGCTGCTCCCTGATCTGTACCCTCACCTTCATGATGTGAATTGGAGTAAATCCCACAATTTAGTTGAAGGACACCTCCGATACATCGAAGTGTATGTGCTCCTCTTCTTCCACTGTTTCTTCGTTCGACTCCTCACCATCTGCCTCCTCTCTCTCTCACAAGTTAAAAGGACCTGAAGCATGTGATCATTGCACTGGTGGCCTGAGGCATACTTCTTATCACATCGAAAACATAATCCCTTTGCTCTCTTGTACCACACCTCTGCTTCTTTGAGGCGCTTGAAGTTAACTACGGGACGGGCCTCCATACTCCTATCATTCGATGCCTTCTTCTGGGTTCTCGGTATGATGGTTGTTGAGGTACTCATGTGGAATCTTTTCATGGTGCCGCCTTTGCTAATCTTCTTCTTCTGGTTTTGTCTTTCACCATATGGGCAAGCTCCATCATCTCCCTCAATCGCCGCGGTTTCAATAGTAGGAGTGTTGCCCATACGTTGGGCTTTTGACCCTTCTTGAAGTTTCCCTCCAATCCTGCTTCAAAAATCCCCTTCAGCTGTCCTGACAGTAGCTCAAATCTCTCTCCATGGTCCATGAAAGTTTCATGAAAGTCCAATTCTAAGTTAAGGCATATAATTGCCTATGTAAGTCTTCTCCCGGAATGTTTCGAAAATATTCCAACTTGCAATCCTTAAATTCCTTCCACTTATGGATCTGATATTTATCTTCCCTCCATTAAAATCATGCCATGATTTTCCTCTCCAAACATAACCCGAACGTCATGAGTTTTTCCTTGTCATTGAACCCATTCACCGTGAAGTATCGTTCCGCCCAATACACCCACTCATGTGCATGTTCCCCTCAAAGATTGACATCTTCAACTTCTTAACACTAGCATCACCGCCCACCTTCCTCTCCGTATGGTATTTTCTCCCATTTATCTAGTGTGAAACTCCCTCATTCGATCCCATTCTTGTTTCTCACTTCGTGTTCATTCCAATCCTTTGCATAACATCTTTTCTATATTTCGACTCAACCCTTCCATCAGAAATCTCTAATCCCCACCCCCCATCTGAGTCATAGGGGAGTTATTGATGGTGGATGCTTTCCTCCTCATGCTCCTCACGTTCGTCTCTTTCTTTTTTGATATGTCCACAGATTCTCCAGTCAACCCTTGGTTAGAGTTTGCAAGTTAAGCCGCTGCTGGGGTCTTGGATTGCATCTTAATAAGTTTCTTTATCATTTCCAATTTCTCAAATTTGCTTTCAATGGAGGAAAACCTTTCCTCTATTCTCGATTTAAGTTGTCCTACCTCACTTTTCAATATCTTCTTCAAAACATCAACTTTTTTTGCAGCCATTTCTCCATGATCAATTTAGAACGAAAAACTCCTTTACGTTGATTATGCTGTGACTTCCCAAGTATCTTAATTAATGGCTTTATCGTGTGATTAGGTCATTGTACCCCATGATCCCTATCAACTACTTCCCTCGCGACTGTAGCATTGTTGTTCGGTCACAAAGGAGCACCGACATGCTGCGATCCTGCCGGTGTTCCCTACAAATTGCAACTGAATTGCGAGCTTCGATCATGAAGCCGATGTACGTCGCGGTTTTGAACCCTCGCGATCGGCCTTTGCTTCCTAGTGAGTGCAATCGCGATTGTACCATGAGCTTCAGGTCCCATTTGGGGCAGTTTATTGGGTTGCGGCTGCGTTTTGAAAACGTCGCCGTAATGTTTGAAAAAAACGTTGGGTAAGATTATTCCTGCCGCTCCGAAACGCTGAGGGGGATTTTATTAATAGTCTGCGAAGTAGGCGGAGTCCCGCGTCCTGCGTATGCGTAGCGCGTTATGGTGAACATTTCTGTTGTGCCCTTCTCCGCTCTCCCTCGCTCTAGCCTTTTCGATCTTCCTTCTTCTTCCTACCCTCGTTGAGATCGACACTAAGGTAAAATTTTGTGACGAAAATCCCCAATCTCGCCCTTCCTGGTCATTCTTCTGCTCCTCGCCTCAAATGAGGTATGTTTTCTTCCTCCTCCCCCATTCTCTGTTGGAGTGCACTTGATATGAGCTAAATGTTAATGTATGAGCTAAACTCTGCCATAATGGGGTGGTCAGGTTGGTATTAGCTAAAATCTGCCATGTATTTCACCTATTACATGCAAGATGCGGGAAGGGAGCAGCAAAGAGATTGTCCTGCAACATGAGTTTTATTTTACGAAAATATTTGTAGTTGGTTGATGCAACATGGAGTTGGTAGGATATTTGGAGTTGTTTTAGGGTTGTTTTGTTTCTGTTGGAGTTGTTTTTTTTCTGATTCGAGAAATATGCACAAGTTTTTTAAAAACAACTATAAAAGTGATGTTGGGGTTTATTTTTGCCAGTTATATTCCTTTATCATTTTAAGGTTGAAAAATAGCTATCAAAGAGCTCATATATGGAGTACATAAGTCTCATTTTCATTGTGGCCATCAAGAACAAAAAGGGCTTTATTTCCTTCAATCATCTGAAAGGCAGAATTTATTAGTAGTTATAAAGCACAACTTGATTACTGAACAAAATTCAGTTTGAGGTTTAGCTAAACAAAGATGTTGGAGTTTACTTGCTTGCTTGAGTTTAGAGAACTTGTTTTCTAATGGATTGACTTTACAAAAATAGAGTGTTTGATATATACAATTTTTCATTAATCTTGACGAGGATTATGCATGAAGTTTTAAGAGCATTTTTTGATGCAATTTGATATTTTTTGTTATTCAAATCTCTCTTCAGCTGGACGGTGTTAATTGAATGGCTAAATAGATTTGGTCAGGGAGTTGTAGATGCAGTTGTTATATATATATATTTGATAGGGACGACAACACATATTTTAACATTGATAATAGTAGCCATTAAGAATAAACTCTACTGACAATAAGTAATTGCAAGCATACCCAAATGGTGGTTAACCATCTTGCTATCCAATGCAAGTGCTAGCATAATTTCTTTATTTGGGGCTGCTCTAAATATTCTAGATGACAGAAAGCATCTGTTCTTTTTCTTTTGGCAGGAGTAAAATCACAAATTTCAATGTTGTAATAGTAGCCTTGATTTTATTGAACAATCTAACGCTACTGACAATAAGAAGAATGACATGCATGTCCGAATTGTAGTTAATTATCTTCTGACAAATAGAAAAGTAACGAATAAAGATAATGCTATAAACATGACAGAATATATAGTATTTCACTAAACTAACATAAACTAAGATGCACAAAGTTTTTAACTAAATGTAGGTCTCATATAAACAAATTGTCTAATCTATTTTAGCTTGGTCATTTTTTTTTTATCCAAGTGACTGTTTTGTCATGTCCCCATCAATTTATACTCTAGAAATATTGTTGATGACTTCATTTTACGAATATAATAATTGTCTGCTTATTTTATTTAATCAATCAGAGAGCTATACTAATATCATCCATTATCGTTATGTGCTACTAAAGAGTTGCTTTCATTTGAGGTTGTTGGACTATATTCTTCTCTTACATAATTATTTTTAACTTTGTCAACAATGCAAAAAATAAATCTTTACATTACAACAACAACAAAGCCTTAATCCCACTACGTGGGGTCAGCTTCATGAATCCTTTTTCTCCATTATTTCCTATTTAGCGTCATATTTTTATTTAGTTCTAATAAATTAAGATAAATAAATAAATAAAATCTTCTTTACATTATCTTTCTGAAATCCATTTTACTTTTTTATGACCTTACTTTTTTTGAATCTTGATCAGAAATAAAGTTTTATTTGCAGGGTGATGCTGATTTTAAATCAAGCGATTTTGTGATTGCACCAACTTTGAATCAACAATATAAGATTCCCCACATAGTAGAAGAAATTCATAGCGCCTGTTTAAGGGTCAAGGGAAGTAGTTAGATCTACTAACCTCAATGCATTTGAATCAGAAATTCATCAAATTTTGCAGGGAGCCGAAAAATTGCAGTCATATGTGGGTAATTATGAAAATAAAAATTCTGCAAGTTTTGATCGACATGATGGACCTGAAGAGGGTGAAGAACCATCTGAAGCACTCCAATGTGTGTACGGATGTGATATTATTGGTATGTCTGATACTGCTGGTGTCATGTCCAGCTGTCACGAGACGATGACTGATTTGAAAGAGTCCAACACTGATCTTCCACATGTGGTGGAGGATAGTATTTTCTGCAAAGCTGATAATATTCCCAGCCTTGAAAAAAAACGAGCTTCTACCACCTCCCACTTGGTAGAAGAATTTCTCATTGTCCCCTCAATGGATGATATTAGATTCGGCAATGTCATGCCATTTGAGTCTCAAATTGATCACACTTCTCATGGTGCTGAAAAGTTATTTTCAAATGTGGATTCATTTGAAAACAAAGCTTTTGAAAGTCTTGTCCAGTATTGTGTTTCTGAAGAGGGCGAGCCATATAATGTAAAACAACATTTTCACAGAGTTGATATTACTGGCACATCAGATACTGCTGGTGTAAAGTCTAGTTGTGACAGGAATGTACCTGATTTCGAGGGATCCAGTATCAGTTTTTCATGTACAGTAGAGGCTAATATCTCCAAAGATGCTGACCAACCCAACCTTCCAAAAGAACGGGCCTCTGCTACTCCACATGTAGTGGAAGAAATTATTAATGTCTGTTCCAGCGATGAAGTTAGAACCTCTAAATTTATGCCACATGAATCAGAAATTCACCGCAGTTCTCATAGCGTTGAGAAATTATTTTCGCATATGGATGCATCTGAAAGCATTGCTTGTCAGAGTATTGGTCGCCCTGATGGGTTTAATGATGGTGAGGAAATACAACGTTCGCACAACTATGATGTTAGTATATCAGATATTGCTTTAGTTAAGCCCAATTGTGATGAAAACTTGCCTGAATTTGATGGTACTAACATGGCTCTTCCTTTTGCGGATAATATTGTCTTCAAAGGTGCTCACATTCCCAGCCTTTCAAATGAACAAGCTTCTACTATTTCCCACATACTAGAAGAAATTCCCCGTGTCTGTTCAAAGGATGAAGTTAAACTAGCTAACTTTATGCCATTTAATTCAGGATTTCATCACACTTCTCAGTGTGGAGTGGATGCATTTGAAAACAAAGCATCTGAGAGTCTTTGTCACCATGAGGTATCTGAAGAGGGTGAAGAACCATATGACGCAAAAGACAGACGTGTTGTCACTAGTATATTAGATACCTCTGGTGTTGAACCCCGTTGTGATGAGAACATGCCTGAATTTGAGGGATTCGGCATTGATCTTCCATATGAAGACGATAATATTGTTTTTAAAGATGCTGACATTCCCAGTCTTGCAAAAGAACGAGCTTTCGTCCTTGAACAGCTTCGTCAGTCAAGCATTCTTCTCACCCCAAGGCCTAAATCTTCCATAATGAACAGAATGGATATGATTTCAGATGTTTTAAACTCTTCACCTCTCGGCATACTTCAAAAAATGGACTTGGATTTCCCCCTAGAGAATAATAATCCGGCCATAGAACAATTTACTTCGACTTCCAGCATTAAGCGGATGGGCATGTTTTGCAATAATGGATCACAGTTGGATGGTCCTGTTTTTGAAAGTTCTCATTCTCTATCCTCTTTAAGTGCTATGTTTGGTTCAGAGTTGCAGAGTCTTCCTTTAACCCCTCCAGCTATAAAATTCAGCCATGTTAGGCTGTCTGGGAAAAAGAGTTCTAGTTCAGTGAAAGTTAGTTCTAATCCAGAGCTTGTATGCTTCCGTATTGATGAAAATTCCTCCACTACTGAAGAAAATGCAGATGTCGTTCAGGTTGGCTATTCCACTCAACGACCTTCAAGAAATATTGAAGTATTAACAAATAGCAAACCTTTGTCTGATGTGACGTCATTGTATCAAAATGGCACATGTTTACTTTCCAATTCCAAGGAATTTTTGGTGAGAGATAGCCTGGTATCTGTAAACTCCGATGCTGCATCCAGCCTTGGATTTGAATATCCAGAGAGAGCGTATAACTCGAAGAACAAAGATAATCATATGTATACAGATGCGATTACAGAACTTGGGAAATCTACCAAAACTGTGAGTAAAAGGTCTGAACGGCTAAGGATATCATGTAGATCCAGTGACAGAATTAGGAAATACCAAAACATTTTAAAAGGGTGCAAACAATCCAACATTCTATCCAACATATCTTCATTTATTCCTCAAATTCAGCAGAAGCAGCAACAAGCTCTGCCATTTCAAAGTGAGTGATTTTCGTATTTGCTAGTTTCATACTTTTTCACCATTAAAATCATGTCAATGTCTACTGGTTATATTGTCCTGCCTGGTATAATACTGTTGTTATCCGGGAATTCACGTTGCCATTTCCCATATAAAATTTATAGGAGATAATAAAATCCAGACAACACAAATGCACATGCTAAATTTGAGGGTAATTTGGGAAGTTTTTATTCTTTATTGCAATCGGGTATAAGCCAGTCTTGCTTGGCCTGTTGCTTTTTAAAACATTTTTGTTGACGGTAGAGAATTGGAAAATTGGTTCGGTGAATATGATTTATGTAGTTTTAGGAGGGAAAAAATAATCATTCCTATTCAATTTCACAGAATATGATTACAAGATAAGTAGTGTGGGATGAATCTCACAATAGGGAAATAATATATTCAGCCATAATTCTTTATGATAAAAGAATGAAACATGAATTATGACATACCAATAGTTCTAACTTCTAAATATAGTACACTATTAATAGAATATACTAAAAATATAATCTTTCTAAAAATCCAAGACCCCCCTCTCAAGTTGGAGCGTAGATACCCAATTTGCATAAAATTTGCTCAAAATTAGGCCTGAACAATCATTTGGTAAAGATATCCACTATTTGTTGAACAGTAGGGATAAATGACATACAAATAGCTCCACAATGAATTTTAGTTTTATGTTGTGTCTGTCAATTTCCACATGCTTTCTGCGATCATGATGCGCTGGATTTTTTGCAATGCTTATGGCTGCAATATTGTCACAGTATAACTTCATTGCCATGCTTATTGGGATATGTAGCTTTTTAAAAATTCTTTTCAACCATAACTTCTCACATATGCCACTAGTCATAACCCTATATTCTGCCACAACACTAGTCCTTGCAACCTCATTCTGTTTCTTTGTTTGCCATATAACCAAGTTTTCTCGCACATATGTATAATATCTTGAAGATGATCTTTAACCAATAAATGAGCCTGCCCAAAATGCATCAGTATACGTCTCTATAGTCGTTTGTGTGGTCTTCTGAAAGAGGAAGTCTTTACCTGATGTACCTTTTAAATATTTGAAAATTTTGTTGACCATCTCTAGGTGTTTCTTGGAGGCTGAATGCATAAATTGGTTTACCAAAATCACCGCAAAGATAATATCTGGTCGTGTATGTGATAATTATATCAATTTCCTTATTAGTTTTTTATATCTAACTATACTCACTTCCTTTTTATCTCTCAATTTGGGATCATTTGTAGGCCTGCGGGTCTACATCTAATCATCCCAATTTCCTTCTGAAGATCAATAACATACTTTTGTTTGTAGATAAAAATTCTTTCAACCTCATTGCCAAGGAAATACCTTGGAGATCTTAAGACATTGGTTTTAAAAACAAACGACGGTGAAGCTTTCAAATGGTTCATCTCATATGTAACATTTTCGCTGATAAATATTATCCACATATAAAATATGTATGACTATTTTCCTATCATTTGAATGTCTGGAGAATGTTATTTGATATCCTAGTCCTTGAGTTTATCTTTAACTTTTAACAAATAGTGTAAATTTTTCAAACCATGCTGAACTCATATAAGAATTTTTTTAGTTTACACAATTTTGTGCCGAACTTCTCATTAAATCCTGGAGGTGCATCTATATACACTTCTTTCATGTCCCTATTGAAGAAAATATTCTTTATATTCAACTGTTGTAGGGGCCAATCAACATTATTTGCAAATTAGAGAAAAACTCTTATAGAGTTTAGTTTTGCGACTGAGGTGAATGTCTCTAAATAATCAATGACATAGGTTTGAGTTTAACCTATTGGCAAATAATTGATTGTTGTACCGTTCTAGAGAGCCATTAGAATTATATTTGTTTGTAAACACTCGTTTGCACCCAAAGCTCATCTTTCCTCTAGGTAGATCAACCGTTTTTCACATACCATTTTTTTTCAAGAACTTTGAACATCTCAAGATAACATTTTTCCATTTAGAGACTTTCATAGCATTCTGTACAACAATAATTATGAGGTAAAAACATGGAAAATTGATAAGAGGTTTTCATACGACATATAATTGGACAATGATTGTTGGGTGCAAGATCTTTCCTCAATGGGAGAGCTAGACTCATCAAGCTCAGCATTCAATTTAGCCTTAGATTCTGGACTAAAAGGATAAGAACTTGAATGTGAAGTGGACTGGATATGGAGTAAAGAATTAGTGAGGACATTACCAGGGTTCACAGATTCTGGGCAGTACAATGATTCATAGACCTTTTTTTTGAGTTGTCATTTGCCTTAAGTTTTTTTTTCCTGTTTCTTCTATGTTATGAACATCATGAGATGACATTGTCGAAACTTTAATACCTTGAAGACCCGACACACTCTCTCATATATTATTGCTTGGATTTTTCAGGCTGAACAATTAAGGTTGAGGATATTCTATTTTGATTATTTTTGGTTTGACGAAAATTCTGAAACTCGGTAGACAAATCTTTGTTTTGTTTCCCTCTGAAGATGAGGTGAAAAAAAGTTGTAATTTAAAAAGATGACATTCATGGTAATACATTTTTTTAGAATTAAGATCAAAGCATTTATACTTCTTTTGGTTAGATGCATAACCAACAAACACATTTTTAGCTTGGGGTTCAAGTTTTCATTGATTATGAATGTGAACAAAAGCATGTTATTTAGTTGTACCTGTTTTGTGATAGCAATGTCCGATTTAACTCCAGCAATTTCTTATTTTTTCTTTCAGTCATACCATTTTTTTAGGGTATGTCGACACAAGAGTTTTGATGAAATATTCCTTTCTTGAGAAACAAGTTAAACAAAAATATTTTGAAGTACTCTCGGCTATTATTATTTCATAATATTTGAATGAATTTTTGAAATTATGTGTTGTGATGTAAAAATTTTTATAATTTATTCACTTTAGTTTTTTTTTCATTAAATAAACTCAACAGCCTAGCGATTACCAGTGAAAGTTAAATAATATTTTTCTCAGAATGTGTATGGTTTTTACAAGGATCCCAGATATTGCTATGAATCAAACTAAATTGTGTAATAATTTGTATATTTGTGGAGAAAATGATGCAAGATGATGCTTAGCAACTAAAAACTTCACATTGAAATAAAAATAGATTTTTTTCTGAAGTAATTTGTGAAATAATTATCTTAGATACAAAAAAGTTGGATGACTTAGGGTCTGTTTGGGGCAGGTGCAGATTTTTAGCTTTTTAGTTGCAGCTTAGCTGCTCCAGGAAGCTACTGTGGAAGCTGACTCGTTGGTTATTGCAGCTGTGTGAAAACCACCGTGAGACAATTGTTTCTAGACAAATGACCATTCTACCCCTGTTTAGTAATGTTGTTTGTAACATAATTGTGACAGGTCTATATTTGACACTTCAAAAATAGAAATTTGCAAACCAACATTATATTTACACTTGTTCTAATGTATTTATCTTCCTTGCTAAACATAACCCATAATTGAAGTCATCGTGTTAGATTTCAAAAGCTCAACTCCTATTACATAATACGAAGTGGGTAATTCAGCCTCAGTAACATAAACTCAGTACAAGCTGAAAGTTCAACATACCTTTATTAATGTCACAAAGAATCATCCTAATGTTTAATGATCGAAAAGGATCATAGTATTCATATCACTTCAACCTTATGGGAAGAAACTTTCATTTCAAAATTCCTACTGAAAAATAAGAAATTTCCTCCTGTAGAATATCAAGCCTAAAGTTACTATTTTTGTTAAGGTTTAAGAAGCCAACCCTAAAAAATTCACAAACAACTGAGCCTTAGACATAACTTCACCTGTTGCAAGCAAAAAAAAAAAAAAAATCACCAATCAATTCCTCAAAGAAGTTACAGAACCTCTCAAAGCTGAATTTTGAAGCTGAGTACATTTGGAAAACCCTTTCCTCCTTCATATAAGCCTCAACCAAATTTGGTGAATGACTAAGACAACTAAAAAGGTTTCAGAAGACCACAGTTGACTGGTGGCATCAAGGGTTATCAAGAACTACATGGGGGCAACTAAAGACTTTATTTAGGGCATGCACTTACTTTCAGGGAATTATAACTAAAAAATAATTCTTATAAACTCTTAACGAACTCAAAAAAAGAAAAAAACTCCAAAAATTATAACAATCATAACTTGAACTCAAAATTAAATGCACAAACTTGCGAACTTTATCAAAATTTGAAATTCATTTTTATCTTCAATTGGCTAGTTACACTAATCCTGCTATCATTATTTCCATTCAAAGTACGAGATTATTTGCCTCCAAATCTTGATCATCTGTTGTTTGACTGACAATAGTCTTCACATATAGACTCATGTTTACTTGGTCTTGAATCTCATTGATGCATATAAGAATCGTTGCCATTGGCATTTGCTATCAAGACATTAGCCCGTTAAAGCTTCAACAATCATGAAACGATTAATTGTTCCAAGCTCCGATATCCAAAGTGATTATAGAATCAGATTTGTCGTCAACAAATCTTATACCAACATCAAGGTGAGTCCTCTGTAACTGCATTCTAGTGTAATTTTGACAATCAAAATTTTAGCGAAGCTTTCTCATAAACTTTGAATTTCTTCGCACTTCACCCAAAAAAACTTTGAAAATCCGCCAAAACTAAACATTAATGAATATTGGCTCAGTTTCAATAAAAACCACCAAAACTGAAAATCATATCTAAAGCATGGTCTCCATTTACAAGCAACAAAATAAGCCAATTTAATCGTAAATCTTCATAGAATAATAATAACAAAATATCCAAGGCAAGACTTGAGGCTCTCTAGCAAGGCCTAGAACAAAGGAGCAACACACAAGAGAGCTCTTCCCTGATCCATTAGGGCCTATTACAAATTTGAGGCGGGATCCGGGCTTGCATACAAGGTGATCGTAGGTCATGAAGAAGTTGTGAATCACGTCACGATCTCCGTTATGTTGCCAGGTAAATAATCATCTTCTCC